TGTTTGTTGTAAATGACTTTAATAGTTTGATGGCCACCTTAAAAATGGCCTGAACCAGTTTGTACAGTCCGGCGTAACATATATTCTCAAATAATGTCATTATCAAGTCTTTACATGCTTGAAGCAAAAAATGGTTACAACACATTGATAAACTCGAGTATATACACCCTCAAAGAATCTGAAATACAACAGGTACTCAAAACAACAGACATGAAAACTATAAACAACTTTAGATGTATTTCCATTCAAATGATAATACCTAACAAAACAACTGAGTTCCTTTAATCTTGTAATCTGAAGATTTCCTCCCTGAGTTTAAACATCAGTGGTAGCGAGAGAACATTTGGAGCTCCTGGGTGACATAACAAAATTAGATCAATTTGATGTGCAAACCAAAAATACCTTCTTTTTAAACAAGAATTGCATAGCATAAATATTCATTGTTAAACAATGTCAAAAAGTTTTAATGTACTTGATAAAACAAGTGCAAGAATGTAATGTCCATTTGCATCATTGCAAAGCTACAGGAGAGGTAATATGTACAAAAAAACACAATGAGACAGAAAGTAACAGTTCATAACAATCATACAACATGATACAATAGTTCCAGTCACAATAAATAAATGCAAACAAACAAAAAAGCAATAATAAAGCACCCTAAAATGATATCATGAATGCTTTGAAAGCTATACGAGGTTGGAGAAAAAGAATGTTGATCCTTTGAGGTCATTTCCATCTGGAACTTCAAGGTCCAAGTTTCCAGGATGGAAGTCGAGACCTCCAAGTGTGTTATATTTACGGTTTGGCATTCTTTGATTTTGTGTTTGATTAGGAAAAACTGTGACATAGTATCCGTCTGAACTGTTCGGTACTCTTATGCTTGAACCTTGAGAAAAATGTGGCAAACGTGCATTGGGGTTAACAAGATTGGCTGGGATTCTTCTGGCGTTTCTGGGGTCCCTCATGTCAATGCTACCTCCTGACGGGGAAATCACCTGTCCATAGCTGTGCGGTGCCTGGAGATTTAGTTTTGAACCTCTGGCTCTTAGCACATGATCTTTTCCTGTGAAATCATCAATGTTGAGATCTGAACGATGAAAATCAATATGGTGGCCTAAAGCATCATTCAGCCCAGGATAGCTGGACCTTACTTGGGTTCTAAGTGACCTTCTGTCAGTGTGCCGTAGTCTGACATCTGCATCAACATCCAAGTCAGGCATTTTCATGTTTACACCTGTCATATCTGATCTGCGATTCTTATATGAAGGTCCTTTGAAATTTAGTGAAGGATCATCAACGTCAAGATTTGGGTACTTTAAATGCAGCTGTGGATTACGCATTGCAGCTTTTGGCATGTTGATGTCCATGTTTGGAGCACTAACATTTGGACCTGTGACATTTCCCTTTAACTCTGCTGGTTTCACATTTAACTTTGCATTTGGAGGAGAAATGTCAAGATTTGTTGGTCTCAGAGATGCACCAAAGTCAATATCAGAGCCTCCATTTATTCCTAGGTCAGGACGTTTTGCATTGAGGTCTAGCTTGGGACCCTTGAAACTGGCATTAGGTAAATCTAAATCTGGCATACTTATGCCAGGGCCTTTCAGTTTAGGTCCTGAAAGATTCATGTCTGGTGTTTTTGCTTTAGGTCCAGAGAGACTAAGGTGTGGTGCATTTAAATCTGGCATTTTTAGATTTCCTTTTGGACCGTTAATATCTACATTTGGAATACTCAGTTCTGGCCCTTGTAGATCCGTATTTATGTCAACATTGGGGCCTTTTGGCATCTTCATTTTGGGCTTTTTAAAGTTTACATCAGGGAATCCAATGTTGGCATCTGGAGGGTTCATATCTAACTTGGAAGCTTTGAGGTCCATGTTTGGCAAGCCCAACTTGGGGGAATCAAATCCACCTTTCATCTTGGGGACTTTGGTATGTAACTCTGGAGTTTTTAGGTCTGAATGTAATTTCAGATTTGGTGCTTTTGGTAGCTTGGCATTAAAATCAGATGAATTGAGATTAACATTTGGGCCATCTAACTTTGAAGCAGAAAATCCCACATCAGGCAGTTTCAAATGTGGCGCTTTAAATTTCTCTGACAGGCCGCCAAAGTCAACATCTGGCATTTCAAAGCCAGTTTTAGAGCCTTTGACGTTGATGCTCGATGCACCAATGTCAACATCTGGGCCATCTATGCCTCCATCAATCTCAGGTCCTTTAAGGCCCGGTAGATTCACTTTAGGCATTTTCGGTTTTGGCATTTTCACATCTAACTTGGGAGCTTTAAGGTTCATGTTTGGCAAGTCAAAGTCAGGGGCATTAACCCCACCTTTCACCTTTGGAGCTTTCAGACTCCAATC